CCATTCCCTCCAACGATACTCATGTAGTGTTTGATCAAAAAAATCTAACTTACAACTGAATGCCCTTATAAGACCATACCCTAGATTTATTTGAACAAGTAATGTTCAGTACAGAGGTGGACCCAAACGCAAGGGAAGCAGGATATGTTCAAAAACTAAACAAAACAAGTTAATCACAAAATCAGTGTATTAACAAAGGTGCCAAAGTAACGTTGAGGAGTAACTAAGCAAAGACTTGACGTTGACTGAGACAACAAAGAAACACCACGATCAATATCAACAATGAACCAACAAGGACTTGAAGTGTGTATTCTGCCCATATTCAGTCATGCTGTATAACTTTCCCATGCCCGCAGCGTAGCTTGGCGTTCTTGAAGCAATCATCACTTAAAATTGGAACACTCCTGACTGGAGACCTTGTAGAGACGCACACACATAGGAATGCACCAGTTGATGCAAGCTGAGAATCGGTTTAGGAGAAACGAAAGTCCTCATGCCTCACCATGAGTTTTGGTACCGCCCTTCTGATGATATAAATATGTTGTGAATCCCTTCCTTCTTTGCACTCGTGACCACCGCAGCCATTGTCTGTAAACCGCAGGTGCCCGGAATATTCTGTTATTAAAAGCTTCAAAGAGACTGTTCATCGACTCCAGCCTGTTTGGACAACTAATATCCTCATCATCCGAAATGCAACGAACACGCGGGGGAAAGAAGGCCACTTTCCCTCAACAGACTGAACTGAAGGAGGGAACAAAATCCAAACAAACTGACGAAACGATGAGAGCAGCAGTAATCTGAGGATGCTTTCCCATCATGCTTTGTTACAAGTAACACTTGTGACTATGTTATAGCTCTTTACCATGTTATTTTGTACAGACTAGGTGTAATAGTTACGGTACATAAAATGACTTATGGTTTTACTCAGTTTTTTTTGTTGTTTTTTTTTTGTACCTGAAGCAATTTTGTACTTATCAAATACGATGACAACATTGCTACTGTACCTTGCTGCTCTTTCCACCAAAAAGATGGCGAGAGGAAAATGTAGCTCAAGTGCATCTTAGTCTTGCTAAATTATAGAAAATGTTAAAGTATTAATCAACACCAGCATTCATTATTCAACAAGTGTTCATGACATACTGTACTTCTCAAGACAGTTTACCTGGTGATACATCCTCTCTCATTACATATGTAGCTGACTTGGATCATCAGAAGTATGAATAAATGCATGAGCATTTAGGCGCTGCTCTTTATTTGCTGAGCAATGCCTTCAAGAGGCAGATCAATCCGCGGCGTGCTACAGGACAAGTTCAACTGACAGGGCCGATCTGGGAATTAGCCACTTGCTCTGCACTAATTCTTTATACGAGAGCCACACGCTATGGAACACCTGTCCAGTAAAAATCGGATCAATATTGGACGTGTTGTGTAAGTTTGGTCACCCACATCACATGAAAACAATTTAACAGCAAGAAAAAGTGAGCCATGATCACGCATGACCGCTATTCATAGTACTATGCACAGACATGTTCTGTACGCACCATTTCTACAGAGATATTAAGGGTGTTAAACACGCCACAACAACATTCAGGACCAAGTGGATATAACCTAACAATGCACGCTTGATGTCATAAACTGATCGATAACGTCATGTCAAAACAAGCACATTTAATATACCGGTAATGTGGGCGTCACCCCATTGTAGACAACAGGACGGCATGTAACATTTAACCCTCACATACTGTCTATATGACATTTGACTGTTCAAAAAAAACAAAACGAATTTCATTACTTCACCCTGAATTTTGATTGCTTTTCCTAAAGTGGCCTGCCTATAATACATCAAAATGAAAATATTTTAAAATGCCATTCTTCTGAACAGGTGCTACAAAGTTAATGCATGTACACATTTGATCCGTGTCTACAAAACACAAAACAGAATTTTTTCATTGACCGGTGGGTGTTAAAGAAAGGAAAAATAGTCTTCAAACTGTCAACCAGTACACACCATAAGTATTATTATTTTATTTTTTATAGAACAGTCATGGTGTTCAAAGACCACTTGTCTTGAGAACTGTCTGTATATGCAGCACATTTGCAGCAGAAACCTTTTGGCATTTGAAGGGTCATTCCGAACAGTGGAAGAGTGAAAGAGCATAAAAATCATCATACTGCACTTACTAAACATAGGAGCAGATGTCATAGACAGACTTCAATGTGCCTTGATACAGGCACCTCCTTTTATTTATGTCAGACAGGCTATTACGAATATGTTTTGAAAAGTTCTGTGGTCCATTATTTGATACAGATAATTATTAAGAGGATAATCTTGGCATTGAGAACAAAATTGACCTGAAACACACTACAGTCTGCGTGTATGGAAAACGAAGAGTATGTAAGGTTATTGCATTATTGATTTTGTGTAGTTTTCCCCCCATGTCGTTGCTCCTCAGTGTTGGCGCTTGTGGAGTTATTTATGAGCAATTTGGGCGTCCGCGCATGCGGTTTGTTTCATGCTTTTATGAATTTTAATGCAGCCATTTCGGATATATGTTACTTGAAACGTACATGGTAACAGATTTTTTTTTTCCATGTTCGTATGCATTAAAGCAGAATTTCACTCGCAGTGTAAATCCAGTCTAAAATGGATAACACACAAGATACGGAAATAGATGTGTCAGACAATGTGTTAACAAACCCATTCATCCAGCTCTTTTCTGTACCACTTTGCCTGTTCCAGGTCCTGGGAAGCTGCAACCTTTCCCAGCTGACTCAAGAATAAGCAAACTACACCCGGGACCGGTGTTAACAAATACTGATTATCAAAGAACTTCACGAAAGCTCCTTATTTAAAATTATCATACCCTTTTTCAACTGGGGTGCAAAAGAGAAACTTTAAAATACAAACAATGTGTGTGCATCTCTTTATGAAAAGTCAATTCAATATGTATCTCGATACATGGGGAGCAATATTATTCAAGGACGATTCGTTATTAAGTGGAATGATTCAATTTGGCTCCATTCAGTAGGATTATGATTCAGTTCGAGAGGGTATGATGTAATGAGTTTCTTGTTGTCATTTAAAAATGCGAATGAACTTGTCGGGACTGTAAATGTAGCGTTTCCATCATATAGATAGATTTTCCGATTCCAATCAGTCTTTGTTACACCGCATAAAACAACGCAAAGAAACATAAAAAAAGTCCCCCTTTTTTAATATTGTTCAGCTATTGTTGGTGTGGCAAAATTTGCAGTAGACACAATCGCACTTTCATGTACAGCAGGTTTCCTTGCTTGTCCTTTCTCTTTACTAAACTCAGTGGTTCGCAATTATTTTCTGTCATGCCCCCCCTAGAAAGAGGAAAACATCTCGCGCCCCCCTGCCCCACTATAAATAGTATCATTTGTCTATAAAATTGTTATAAGTACACCTTTGCATAACACTGTATCTTTATTAACGTATAAGAGAATAAAAAAGAAAGAAATATGGACCAACTTACAACAAAGAATAGCTTTACTAACTGTAACAGAAAAGATTTAAAGTGCATCTGAAATTCAAAAATAACATTAAATCCTGAATTTAACAATAAATATTTTTTGACTGGCCATGTCAAACCATATGATACTGAAGAATAAAATTACATAAAATCAATAACTAATCACCAACATTATCTCAGGAGCACAATATTAAAAAAAAAAAAAACTTTAACCAGCAAAACAAAAATATATAAAATAATTTGTGCTTTTTTGGGGGGGGGGGGTTAATCAAAGATGATGCCTGGATTAGTGGCTACAACGAGCACGTTTTGCAATGCACAGCTTTTCGAAGCGAGGTTTGAAGCAGGACACAGCAACTCTCGACTCCTGCTCAATGTGTAGCCTGGACATGTATTTTAGTTTACTGGAGTAGCAGTCACAAAGCGGCATGATTGTTGGCAATATTCGACACGTTTTCGCTGAAAAAAACTCAAGCGTCTTATCCACGTGATTGGGGTGTAATGTCTTTAAGTGACGCCTTAATTTATTTGGCTTCATGCTGTCCGCTACCAACATTTTTAGACACAGTAAACTCAGCGATCTTTCATCGTCTGGTACCGTAGTCACAGTGAAGCCAAGCGCTACATACGCCTCGTCACATTTCCTCCCTTACAAAGCTCCCTGCGCAAACTCTGCCAATGAGAACGCCACTGCCCCATACCGTAGTGGAGGTGCAACTGCACTATATTCTCGGACAGTTAAAAAAATAAAAAAGCATGTTCCCCGAGGTCAAACGCGTCCCCCTTGACGGAACCTCGCGCCCCCCCAGGGGGGCGCGCCCCACTATTTGAGAAGCACTGACTTAACACAACTGTATTCATAAAGCACTTTAAAACAACCACAACTGGAAACAAAGTGAGGTACATGGAGGAAATGTAATTCATCCAACAACAAAACAACAAATTAAGAACAAAGACAGTAAAAAGCACCAAAAAAAAAAAAAAACAGTCAAAAAAAATCAAGTCTCACACTGAGTCTCAAAAGCAAAGGAATAAAAATGAGTTTTAAGATGGGTTTTACAGATGGGCACTGAGGGGGCTTGACCAACGTTCAGTGGGAGGTCATTCCAAAGAGAGGGACCCGCAATGGAAAAACCTCGATCCCCTATGAGCCTCTGCCTAGTTCTCGGTACCTCTTATAGTGTCCGGTCTGCAGACCTGAGGCACCAGGCAGGTGTGTAGGGGAGGAGGAGCTCAGAGAGGTAAGGTGGGGCGAGGCCATTTAAAGATTAAGTTAAGAAAGGTAAAGCTTTAACACTTGAAGACAGGATAAAGGTAATAAAAATGAAAGATGGAGGAAGCAAAATAAAAGACATTATGCAAGAAATTGATGTAAGTGAAAGTAAATGCTGATTGTAAATTTCGCAATTTCTTTCCCTTTTTTTCTTTCTACGCTGGCTACATGAAGTGTCAAATAAGTGTATGCTCATACTTGCACTATTGGAATAAAAATAAAAAGTACACATATATGCTTTTTGTGTGTGTTTGTGTTTACGTCGCAGATAAAATTTGCTACAGTGAAAAGTCCCCTGTTATGAAAAGTTTCTTGCTGCAAACTTGATTTCGTTGTAGAAGAGTTTCACTGTAGTCTCCCACTATATTGCGATGCTCTGTTGCGTGCTCCTGTTTCTCCATTGCTCCAGTTTGTGTGCTCGCTGCGCTGCTTGTCCGCAATCTTCCCCCTTCTATTTTGTGTGGACACACAGACGCAACCACACATCCCGACCAATCATAGGCAGCTCACAGCATGCACGACTGACTCATCACTTACAGCCGTATCGTGTTCACTTGTAAAATTATTTTATAACGGTGGGTGGATTTTTAACATCAGAGCTAACATGTTCCTGTGAAAATGAAATGTGCATATAATGTGAACAAGTCCAACATGTTTTCATAAATGTACGCTGAAAAATCCCTGACACGTCAAGTTCAAATGGAATTACAATCTCATGCAGATGCTTTGTAATCAACTTATCGCTGTTTTTCCTTGTGCAGAAAATGGGGAAATGACATTTAATTGATATTGCAAATATACATCTGTGTGACTGTGAATATAAATGAGACTGCCCGGACTCTTGTTCTCATGGTAACACATGCAGGATGCGATGCGCTTATTGACCTTGGGGCTGTGGAGTTTGCACATCCGCATGATTTTGCATTAAGGTGCATTCAAGGCAAAGGCACTTGGTGAGGGTAACCTGTCGAATGCTACTCTTTTCGTTGTCTCGTCATTTCCGACTGTTCTATTCCCACTTGAGACAGCAGCCTGATTCGTTTATAAAGTGAGAAAACACTTCTGCCAGAAAATAAATAGCACCCATTTCATTCATTGTATATTGTCTATTAACAGCATTCAGGTGATGGTGCTGTAATGTTTTCATTTTCAGAGACAATGCGCAACACTGCTGCAAGCCCCCACCTCCCACCCCATCTTTGCCATCTGGCTGCTGCCTCTGCCGGCCTGCGGGGGGCACTCTAGCACTTTCTCCATCATCTTCTGCACTCCACCCTCGAGTTCCACTTTTTCTTCAGCCCTCCCTCCCCAAGTTCTCTTTTCCTTTTGTTCTGTGACTCTACCGCACTTCCCTCTTTCTCACTTTTCTAATACTCTCTCATCACGGCATGCATCTTTTCCTCTCTCTCTCTGTCGCGCGCACGCACACACACACACACACACACGCACGCACGCACGCACGCACGCACGCACGCACGCACGCACGCACGCACACACACACACACACACACACACACACACACACACACACACACACACTTCAAGTTCATCCCCCTCTTCTTCCACTATTTGACTTGTGGTAGGTACCCATTTTGTCTCCCTCCTTCCTTCCCCATCCCTCATGTTCAGTCCTGTTATCTCACTGGCACTTTTTCTTCTGAATTGCCATTCGATACCAATCTCCCCACACCCCTCATCACGTCCGCGTTGTCAATGTACACGTTAGCAACACGCGCTAAATGCTGCGTCGCTGGAGATTTGTCAATCTTTTTCCACATTGAAGTTGGGTGTAATTGGCATGATTATGCACACAAGATTTGTGTCGGCTGTGAGATGGGCACAATAATGACATAAAATAATAATATTTTGCTTTCACAGGACATTGTTCTAGTCTTGAGATTTACAGCAAACTGCATTGGATGACCGATCTCAGCTGCATTCACGCATATTTTTGGGGGGGCATTCTTGTGTTTCATAACCCCCCAAAAAACTTACTACAATTGCGTATGTAAGAGCTGTTTCTTAATAAAACGTCATCAATATAAAAATGATTAGATTGATTGACACACTCATTGTCAGGAATGAATTCATAACAATAATTTGTTTTTAAATATTCGAACACCGGTGGTTTCACCCCAAGTCAACTGGGATAGGCTGCAGCTCATATATACAATGTGTATATATATATATACACATTGCCTATCCCAGCTGACTGGGCGTAAGGCAGACAACTCCTTGAACTGGTCACCAGCCAGTCGCAGGGCACATAACGAGACAAACAAGCATTTACATCCACATCCACACCGTCACTGAGTGGGAACTGATCCCACGCTGCCCCACACAAGTCAGGCGAGTGTACCACTTATAAATACTTATGATATAACACACTGTATATCTTTGGGGCTTCATGCCCACATCCATGGCTGCCATGTCAGAAGTTTGCGCATTATGTTCCGGTGTTTTGTGAGTGTGTGATTAGAGACAATTGATTGATGCCAATCTTTAAAACCCGCCTCAAAATTCACTTGTATTCTTTGGCATTTGACTCAGCATGGCTCAGATTTGATCTTAGTTTTACTGTTTGGTGCCTTCTACCATTTTGTTACTTATTTATTGTTGTATATATGACAGTTGCTCCATGTACAGCACTTTGTATGCAGCGACGGCTGTTTGAAAGTGCTATAAATACAGTTGAGTTGAGAGTTGAGATAGCCGTAGGGAATCACCGTAAGGCGTTTGGCAGCAAATACACAGGTTGGAGGGACAAAGGCACCAAACTGGAATGAGGGCGAACGGATAGAAGATTTGTCAAGGAAAAGACAGAGATTGGTTTCAGTGAGCGTTGAAACATTTCTTTCTGAAGATAAAGCTCACCCATTGAATGGAGATCAAATCTCATCCTGCTCGTATCGAGTAACCAACTTCCTTTCTACTGCACTTTAGTTACCCTCACGGTACACCTATTGGAAATCTTTAAAAACAGCATGCGGCAATTTAACGACAATGTGTTAACAATTTGAGTCTTTCTGTGAATTTGTGTGCTTTGTCATTGCATTGTGTCTTTGCCACTGCAGCCAAAGTTTCTCTATACCAATTTTTAGCTCTCATCTTAGCATCACTAAAGAGATTGGAAAATTTATGAAATAACTTATTTAACTGACTACGGTTACATGTATATTGAGAAAACAAATTCAAACCCATTTCCATTTTCCAAGTATTGTTAACATTGAAACACTAACAGAACTGACAATCATGGGAAATTTTGTTCTCAAACACACAACTCATGTCAGCTAATCTGACGTCCCGCTACATACCGACTCAACTGTTTCGCAGGGCGCCAGGTTCAGCAAGTGACTCTCAAATGTGGACGATCGTCAGCCACTGGTTTTGCTGTGTTTCAAAATTTGAATCGCAAATGTGAAAGTCGATCAAAAATACACATGAGCTTTCACCAAGGGGAAAACCCCCCACCCCAGCAGAAAACATTTCCAAATTTAAACATAATCGAGACCCAGCCATCTGACAGCAGCCGCCAAGCCATACAAATAACATGTTCACAATAATACTCCAAGAATTTTTTGTAATTTCAAATGTACTTGTGGCTTGAAAGCAAGGCGTGAGTCTGTCGTCAAAATGAATGGGTGCGGTCAGTGTATGGAGATGATCAATCATTGTCACATGCCTCTTAAAATATCCATACGATCTCCTTATTCTTGCCCATTTCCTCTTTTTCCTGACCATTCGCTTCTTCCTGGGCAATCATGCCATGTTTTATGGATCATTAAAAACATCGTACAGGACAGCAAATTGAATGTGGAGCCTGTAAACCCAATACAGGGACTCAATTTTTCCATTGCAGTGCTTTGGTTGGAAGCCTGAGAAGCGACAGACTTTTAGTTATTTACTTATTATTATTAAGATTTTTCTGCAGTGATCCACTTCAGTTGTTTTGGCCATATCGCAAGGTGTGACTTATTAGTGATTGGGGATAAGATATGTTTTCTTGCTAATTACAAAAGGCTAGGTTCTTTTCATTGTCCATTTAATTGTCCATTATTTTCACATGCCTAGATTGCACAGCTTTCACTTAGGGCGTATTGTTTCCATCGAGACTTCTGGCACAACTACCATGTATATCCTGGAATTCTCTGTGCAACCACCAAAGAGGCGTGACTTATTGAATTCTGAGGCTCACTTTAAATTATGGAGCATGGAGTTTTCATGCCTTTTCTGACTTGCGCATAAAGATGGACCATGGTGGTTATATTTTCTCAAGTAAGGCAGATGAGCAATTTAATTAACCCATTATACGCAAATCTATACAGTATATATATGGTGGCACGTTGGTTGACTGGTTAGCATGCTTGAAAATAATTTGGTGCAATGATTGTGGAAAAATTCTTTTGTGTATATTTGGCTGGCTGTGCACTGCTGCCTTGTCCAGTCAAACAGCTGCAGATTCACAATTGAGATGACCAAACCTGAAAATTAATAGTAGCATTGAGGTAAAAATGTGTGCATTTTACACAAAGTGCATGCACGTAGGCAGGCTTGCACTCGACAAAACTGAACATTCTTATCTTTGTGAAAGCAGATTTTTTTTTTTCTAATTGATCCCATTACAGAGATAGTGTGGAGTATGTTGTGACCGAGGGATGTAGGTTAACTTGTCAGATAAACCGAACGTGAGTTTCCATCTGTCTGCTTGAAAATGAAGAGGATTTAATCTGGATTGTTTTAAATTTGTTTCCCGTTCCATAACAATTGCATGGCCATTTAATCTTGTTGAAGCTCCAGGCTTAAAAGTGTCATCTCAAGTACATAGATACTTTATCAAAAAAAAAAAATGTCAGCGTGCCAAGTGCACGCATTCATGCCAGGACTTGTAATAGAGTTGACAACATCTGCACTGCAGGGATTACATGAAAGAACAGCACTTCAAATGGATTGGGCAATTTGCATCCAATCACAATGCCTGTGGACAAAAAAATCCAGCCGCTTTGATTTTTGGTGTGATTTCATGAGCGCCACACCTACATGACTCTTGTTTATTCCATTGCAAACTTTATTATATCTCAAATTCTAATGAAAAACAGGCCGTGTCTTGTGACTGTACTTAAATAATAAGCCCTCATATATTTTACTTAGTCAGGAAATGAGTGATGGCTGCTTGATGGCTGACGGCCATGACCTTGACTTAGAAAATTACCGCCGAGGGGGCAGACCAAGGAGATAGGTTGCATGAAGCAGCCATTTCTTAATGACTGAATTTTATCATATCACTTTCATAGCTGATGGCTTCATGCCCCTATAACACACAGATAATTAATTTTAAACCACTTCCCCAAGTTCAATGGCACTCAGCTACATTGAAATGTCTCCATGTCTTGTTTCAAGATGACATTTTTGGGGGGGTGGGGTTCGCTCTCTGCAATCTCTGGTTCACTTATGCGGATCATTTTTATTGTGTAAAATAGTTCATGTAATTGAGAACCAATTAGGCAATTGGGAATAGGATTTTACAATGCTAATTGTGTTCATCTAATTGTGTGGAGGCTGATTCATTCACACCAATGCTCTTAAGCACAATTCTCCTTTCTCTGGTCGTAAAATAACAACAATTAGCCATCTTGGACCGAGCAGTCAGGACAAAGTTGTGCACCCATTTTATTGTTACTCTAATGCTTTGTTGCAAGTTCAGTTTCTGGTTCTATCAACATTATCGCAGATGTATTGTACAGTATAAGTATGTAATCTGTAACCTAGCAAAAAGGATCCAGCTCACCTGTGACTCTAAAAAGGATGATTGGTCTGAGGCATCAGCGGGAATACCGTACCTCAACTCAACTGTATTTATAGAGCACTTTAAAACATTCACCACTGTATAGAAAGTGTTATACATGAGGCAAAACTAAGTCATACAACTACAAACAATAAAATAATAAATTAATGATGAAGGCAGTAGAAGGCACAAAGACAGTCAAATTAAAACCATGTTTTAGGCTGAGTCAAAAGCCAAAGAATAAAAATGAGTTTTCAGACAAGTTTTAGGGAAGGAAGTTTGCAGGGAAGAAGCCCGAGCTTGTGGGTGAGGCCGAGAAGTTCCGACTTCACGTAGCCGGGCTTGCCTCCACACACAGCCTGGGCTCTGGTACAAGTTCTCTCGAGAGGGGTTGGACTCACATCCACTTTGGAGTCGCCCACGGTGAGAGAGGAGCCAGATGAGGTGGCTCGGGCATCTGATTAGGATGCCTCCCGGACACCTCCTTGGTATGGTGTTCCGGGCATGTCCCACCCGCAGGAGGCCCCGGGGATGACCCAGGACACGAGGGAAGTGGCTGGGGGGAGGGATGTCTGGGTTTCCCTGCTAAAGCTCTTGCTCCCGTGACCCGACCCCGGATAAGCGGTGGAAAATGGATGTATGGGCAAGTTTTAAAGATGGGCAGCAAGGAGGCTTGTCGAACATTTAGATGGAGGTCATTCCAGAGAGAGGGAACGGTAACAGAAAAGGCTCAATCTCCTCTGAGCTTTCGCTTAGTCCTCGCTACCTCTAATAGTGTCTGGTCCGCAGACCTATAGTTTGCTCTGATGTGCTATGACCCAGCCATATACTGCTCAAATAGTTTAGAATCATGGTACTTTATATGGGAAATAACATTTCCAGTTTAGAAAAACTAAAGGCAGCATAGACAAAAAAGATCAATATTCCTGGTTCCATCCTGATTGTTAACCACATGACAATTTTCAGCAAAAAGTACTGTGGCTTAAAATTCACTATACGGATCAACTGGTGAATAGTGAGGAGGCGGATCAGCGCTGCTGTGCAGAGACAGATTATTTTGTCAGAGCATGGATTGCCTGCCCACACTTAAATGATGCGGCAGTCAGACAAAAGCATGGGGACATTATTTTCAGGTCATCATTGCACCTCTTTCTGCATGCTACCGAGGATGAGAGTGTCGGCTCAAATTATGCATCACAAAGGGCCTTTGAAATGGCATCAGTCATTAAGGTGCTCGGAACGAAAGATTCTGTAAATTGAGCCCTCTTTTTGTATGTATGCTTTCATTGTAAACATTTATTTTAAAGAGAATTGATGACTCTTGTCGGTCATGATGCTGAGGTTGATTCATGTCATCATTTTTGTTTGCGTGTAACTTCACCAAGACTTGTACAATGTGCATCTGTTGTTGCTTTTTTTTTTCTTTTGCTGGTGGTTACTGGGCAGTAAGAATCCATAACGCAAAACGGTGGACCCTCTTTTGTTGAAAACAATTTTTTTAGGACTGATTTGTTCACTTCAGGATCCAATATTTCAATATAATCTGAATCTAAACTGAATGTATCCGTTGCCATTGTACAGGCAAGGTTCGTAAGATTTTAACATTTTACCTGAGCAACAAGAGTAAACATGAACTAATTACTGTATTACCAATTCATCTCAGCTTTAGGGCTCCATTTTTGGAGACAGTGAACATGGGTATGACGTAAAAACAGTCTCATCTTCATTTTCACACCTGGGTAAGTTTAGTTTATCATGTTTGGGTATTCGGAAGACCGTGATACACCATGGTGGGCGTTACGGTGGACCCGGGCCTTTACTATTACATGGCCCCGACACACATGGCAATATGGTGACAAGTAGACTAGACATTAGACGTGATAAAAGCAGCTATAAGTTGTGGTGTGGGTGATGTAATACAATTTTGGTGGATTTGATTAAGGTGCAGGCTGACAGATTCTGAAGTCTGTGGATGCGTGTGTTGGATGTCGTCATATTTCATTCATAAATACAACAACAGCATGCATCCATGCCTGTTGAACAGGGATGACGCTACACCGGGGCTAAGATTATTAATAAATTAATTTCAAAACTATGTATCAGTAAAGCGCCCCTAGATACGTGTCTGTCTCTGTTTCCACTGGTAGGGAAACACGCCGGGAAACAAGCTGTTCACGACCATAACGGCACAAGTGGCCATTTCTGCCTCTGCCGGTCTTGGAAAATACCAAAAAGAGCCAAAACTCCACCCATGGGCACAGTTAGACTGTGCTTTGCACAAGTCTTGCATTAGGCAAGAAGACAGGACCTTTAGTGTTGTTGATGCACGTGGACACTTTTGTCTTACTTTAGAACAACTGCAAAAGTAAGTTTTGTTTGTGTACATGCATGCCAGAAGCTTACACTGTTGTCAGACACATATAGAGTAGCGACTGGTTGTGTGGAGTGTTGTGTTTTTGAGAGTAATTCAATATAGATAAATTGACATTCTTTTTGGTCAGCACATGCACATTGCCACTGATCAACAGATTCGCGCTGAATATTATAAACATGGAGCCTTCATCCCATGCATGTCTCTAATATGAGACGAGGCATACTGTACACTCTCAAGTGGTTTCTATGAAAATATCACGCACATTTAGAACAGATGGTTAAGGGGTGCTTTAGGCCCTCTACCGCCGTGAAGTAGAAGCTTGTACAGCCTTACCAAAAGGAGACTGTCATTCAAAAAAAATGGTTGATTTAGACTATTTGAAAATATACGTCCCTCTTCTGTACGCCAGCTTCCTATTTAAGGGTTTAACTGTCTCATTGTAGGCGTTCAATGAACTAGCTCATACTCCATCCAGAGTACAAGCCAACAACAGGAGGCAAGGTAGTGTTCTCTCCAAGGAGAACCCCACCTGTCATTTCAAATGGAAATGAAATCAAATGTCAAAGACTGGCAACCCATAGCACATCACTGACAGTCATAATGTGAGAAAACCCTCATCCTGGTCGATTGAATGCCAAATTTGCCTCTTAAATTACCCCCCTTAAATTCCAACCTTTGACCTCATCGTGGTGGGGGGGTGAACGGGTAATCTGCCCGGCAAACAGAAGGCTCTGGTAGAAGCAGGGCTGGGGACCCGGCTTTTAAATAAATTCCCACGAAACTTCTTCATGACTTCACGATCGACTGCAATTACGACTCAAGCTCCGGCGTCCGCAGGAACCGACGCACCTGCCCTCAGCTCGGCGGGGCGAGTGATAAATGTGCAAGCCGGGCACCACAACCCCCCCCCCCCTCGGGGCAAGATCTCGGCAGTAACGAAGGGGCGTGTCTACCAAGCGATCGTGCGGACCATCCTCATTTATGGCTGTGAGACTTGGCCTTTTGAGAGTAGCTGACCAGCGCAAGATGGAAGTCTTCGACAACGATTACCTCCGCCGTATCCTCTGCCGCCGCCGATCGGACCGGGTCCCTACTGCTGACCTTCGCCGCTGACTGCACCTTCGTCTCCTACCAGCAATTCTCCTGCAACGCCGACTCCGTTGGTTTGGACATGCGGCACACCACCAGGAGGGCGAGCTGATCAGGGATGTTCTCCTTCCTGCTCCTTTGCCAGCCTGGCGCAAGCGGCGTGGTGGACAATCAGGACCTGGGCCACCACGATGAAAGAAGACCTCGCGTACCTTTCCAGCCCCCAGGTGGTGGGTCTGCGACGGTGGAAACAGGATTGGCTGAGGCTGTCGGTTGACCTGGCACAGGATCGCCGCGCTTGGGCCGCCATGATCAGGGATGTCGTGTGTGCCAAGGAAGAAGCCGGTTCAACCCGCCCAGGGTGAAGACCGTTGCAAACAAAACAAAACAAAAATTAGCCTCTTGTGGCATTTTCTTATCAATGGTAAGATGCAACAAAATGTACTGGTATATTTATCTTCAATCAAGTCACTGAGCGCTTGTGGTGGTTTATGTGGATTCCAGTCACGTTTCTGTGTTTTCATTTAGCTTTCGCCGGCTCTTCTTAATCCTTCTTTGAGCTCATAAAAGGAACACGTAACACATTGACAATTAGTGGCTGCTGCAATGACAAATTTGAATGATGTTGCCAAAGAACCATCTCCTTTCCGTGCTCCATCTTTTCTTATACATATGCTTTGTTCAAATATAACCATTTAATTGTGATTCAGATAATAGAGCAGCTGCCGCTTCTTAAGGCAGAAGGTGATTTTGAATTATCTGTCAGCTATTTTAGAGGAGTGGCGCAGTGCTACTGTTGTTCCATTCATGATCGATCCGAAGAAAGAATCGTGCACACACGGAGATCAGAAAATGCACAAACACAAACACTGGAGATATTTCTGCTGCCATAAGCACGGCTACACAGCTGTTCTGAAACTTCGCAAGAAAAATCCAAAGTTTGGAGTTCATGACATGTCTGGGAAATGACCCTCTTTGAGTTCACCCCCATCCGTCACAAGACACACACACACGCACGCACGCACGCACGCACGCACGCACGCACGCACGCACGCACGCACGCACACACACACACACACACACACACACACACACACACACACACACATTAAAGTTTGACAGTCCCTGCCTTCAGTAAAATTACAGCAGCTGCACTGTTGTGTCATTTGCAGCTTGTACTGACAGAAAAGGCCTTCTGGCAAACATTGTTTGAATGGACCCAGCTCAAAACAAGCCTGCCAGAACTAACAATGATGCGGTCAAAACACCAAAAAGTCAGTCCCTCTTATTGTACAGTGCTAAGCAGCTTCAAACAGTTGAAATCTTTGGCCGAGCCCTGCGGCTTTGTGATCCAATGAGGCAAAAGTGCATAAAGATTGTGCTGTGTCTCATCCCGAATCAAAGTTTATGGCAACAAATAAACATGGGCTCAGATTTAAATTGACTGAGCAGCGCTAACACTTTGCATGCTTGGACCTTTGGATGCATTCATCTTTTTTCTTTGTGGTGGGGCAGATGTAAATGCTTTCATCTATGTGCGCCCCATCAAAACTGCAGCAATTTTTTTTTTTTTTTTTTTTTACTCAGCATTCTTGCTGCAAATAACCCAGCCCGTGGGGGTTCCTTCTCGGGTAAAACTCACTTATCATTCCAAGGAGTACATCAAGAATCTAGGGAATGAAGAAACCGAAGATTGTCCTCATTTTGAGGGAATAGTAGAATACGCAGAAAGATATTCAAGTGCATCAATCAATGGAGCCTTCCTCCTGAACTGTGGAAAGCACGACAAAGTTATTAATTGGAGTGGAGGATTACACCATGCGCACAAAGATGAGCCAAGTGGATTCTGCTTTGCAAATGACATAGTAATGGCAATCCAAGAGCTACTCTGCAAATATGAGACGGTGATGTACATAGACATTGACAACCCAGCGCTGGGGGGGCAGTGCCCTCCCCTGGGGGTGCACTGTTCCCCAGTGCCGGTCCCAAGCCCGGAGAAATGGGGAGGGTTGCGTCAGGAATGGCATCCGGCGTAAAACTTTTGCCAAGACGACCATGCGAGTTGGTAGGACGGTTTACAGGGGCGGATGGAAATTACTGACTCGCTGTATAGGGACGTGCCGAAAGGAGAAGAAGAAGATGCTTGCTGCAAATATCTTGGAACACTTAACCATCATCACAGTGTAACTTTGTCAATCACACTTCCGGAACATCAACCTGTCCAGTTCTGAGACAGTGATTGTAATTGGGTGTCACCCGATTATGAATGGAATATTGAACATGACATGAAATCTCGTCAGTTCCCAAACAACTGTTAAGTGTACAGTATGTAACATAGTGCTAAACATGCCCTTGTTCCAGCTTTTTAGGAATATGTTGCAGGCATCAAATTCATATTGACTCAATACTTTTAGAAAAATATAAAATAACACTTAAGTAGGCCTATTAGGTTGAATATTAAACATCTTGTCTTTGGTGTATTCATTTGAATATAGGTTGAAAATGATTTGCATTTGAATTTTTTTTAAACTCGTGTTTTCACAAAATCCCAACTTCATTGGAATTGGAGTTTGTATAAGTGAATAGAGGAGATGAGTAAGGGCTCACATCGACCAATTCTCATTGAAAAAAAAAAAAATCACTTTTTTTTTCTCAGAGTGTGTGTTGTAAAAGCCAGCATGTATGCTTTGACACCTCCCCTGGTTAGCTTGTTAGCTAAGCTTTCTGTGCCAACAAAGCTCGTGTTGAGTAAACATGCCAAGAATACAACATCAGGAGCAGCCAAACTGACTTACTTCACTGACAACAGGCGATGGTAGTATGTGTGTTCACACCATGATTATTGGCCGCAGCATGAAACGCAGGGCGTTTGCCTCAGGCGATACTGCCAACATTAGTTGACGATTTACACACGCAAGACATGAATTTTCATTTAGAGTCAGTCCTTTTTTCCCAATAGTGTGTTTGAAAAGGTATCCATTTTCCCATCCACTTTATCCTCACAAGGTTCGCGGGGGCTGTCTTCAGGCACGTGGCGGTGTAAACCCTGAGCCGGTTGCCAGCCAATCGCAGGGCACACATAGACCAACTATTTGCACTCACACTCACACCGATGGACAGTTGAGAGTGGTCCACTAACCAAGATTGCATGTTTTCTGAATGTGGGAGGAAACCAGAGTACCCGGAGAAAAGCCACGCACGTACGGGGAGAACATGCAAAGATCACATTGGAAAGCCGGAATCAAAACCTGCACTTCTGCACTGTGAGGCAGACGTGCTAACCAGTCGCCCACCGTGCCGCTGAAAGTAAAACATGAGTACTGTAATATATTTTTAAAATTAATATTATTATCATTATTTACATCTTATCAATCGTTCAAGCTTTTAAAAAAAATGTTACTATGATGAAGCCTTTTACCATTTTATCGCAGAGCTTTGGCTCAAAGCCACTCAAGTTACTCAACAACTACTTTTTGTAGAAGTGCTTAACACATATAAACTCCAGTCTGCTTAAAATGTGATTTTCATGATAGCAATTAAAGTGTGCTGTTTTTTATGTTTCAATGACAAGATGCATGACAGTGTAAGATTGGGTCTTTTTTTGTTCATTCAAAGGAAATGGCCCGAAAATGTTACAGGCTCCTGTGTTTCACAGAAAAGCAGCAGCTTGAGCAAAAAAAGTGTGAAAAGAGGACAAAAGACTTCATTTACTTTTAAATGCAGTCCTGCCGACTGCTTTTGGACTCGCTGCCTTTGTGAAACAATTTGGTGGGAAGAGTTGGCATTTAGCAGCCCATTTGCCAAATGTCTGAAGGGAAGAGAGAAAATGAAATGTTTGAACTTTAACCTCACCTCGTTTGCTTGTTGTTGAAGCAGTTGGACGACAAAGGCGCCGCTCTGTGTTCAAATCTGCATGGGAAAGCTGACGACGCTGCCAAGTTTAATGCCTACCTTTGAATTAGTGCTTACACTCAACTATTTATATCTAGTGACCCAGATGCGCCACCACCGTGCGCATACATTTATTGAACACGAGGAATAATCCAGTTACAGAACATCAGGCTGAGACAGGAACAAAAGTGACAACACTGCTGCATTCTATGTCAGACGCAACTAAACAAACATTGTATCAAACACGAAATACTGGTAAATTGTCCAAGACTCACTCCTCTCCCAAGAGGCCCTTCATTCATCCACGAGCCACTGCAATCAATTTACTTATTTAACCCTCCCATGCACCACTAATGATAACCCATCCATCCATTTTCCAACCCGCTTTATCGTCACAAGGGTCGCGGGGGGTGCTGAAGCCTATCCCAGCTGTCTTCGGGCAGTAGGCAGGGGACACCCTGAACCGCTTGCCAGCCAATCGCAGCTAACGATAACCTGTAACGTGATAACATGATAAGATGTCCACTGTAGTAACCGCGGTCCCTGAAAGGGTTAATTTACTTTGAACCTTTTACTGGATTCTAATTCTGATACTGGATTCTGATTTATTTCAAGATACCGGTACATGATGTGCCATTGATGTCCATTGTGTTGTCTTCCTCTTGTTCATTGTTTAATGGAAGTCTTCGTTTGATATTCTGTGTAATGTGGTGCAGAATTGTGAATGGATTCCGAAGCCAAGCGGGAGACAGCACTTTACAGGTTTCAGGGCCAGCTAGACAAAACCCACATCACGCTAGTACAAAAGCCGTATGCGGCGTAGTTGAGTGAATTGCGAGTTGAAAGGAGGCATCTCACCTTCCCTCAAAAGAAAAAGATTTTCTTCACAGAATCTAATTTATTTGAAATGACAACTATGCCGTTAACAGACGGCGGGAAAACAATTAGGATCCATACAATGTTCTGAAGCATTTGGCAGGAGCGCATATTACGTTGATTTGTTTTTCCAATCAGTGACTGCTAATATTCTAGTAGTTGGCTGACTCCAAACAAAAAAACAAAAACAAAAAAAGACTGCATTCACCGTAAGAGACAATGTGAGAGCACATTACGTATTGGAAGTAACCGAAGCTAATGGATGCATGACCTTATTTCATCCTGATTTACAGTGCAATTTAACAAGGTAATGCTTCTTTTTTGTTGTTGTTGTTGTGGACTCCATCTTTACCCTTTCCAGAAAGGAAATGTGTGACCTGTGGCCCACTCTGGACAAAGGCCCTTTGTACCACCCAAGTTGAAGCGCGATGAGTAGCCTTTGTGCGGTGTCTCATTATCAAATTGTCTCCTCCTTCCTCGCCTCCGCTGTGACCGAACATGCGGAGATATTCTGTAGTCTCCGTGTGATCCCCCATGTCATTGGAAGTGAGAGATGAGCCTGTCAGTTATGCTGCATCGATCGTTTCCTCCTCTCTGGCCACATGCATACACGGCTAATTCCGACTCCACATTATGCTGGGAGTGTTTCCAAATCAAGCAACTGTAAACTATGACTCACGCCAAGTCAGCTGTGCAAAGTCCAGACGGCGTCCCAATGGCTATCTCTTATATCCTGGCAGCCATATGCACTCTGAAGGGGAGCAGATTAGCTATAACATAAAGAATCTGTCAAATTCAAGGCTGTCGAGTGAGGGTGGGCGTTGCTGAGGGAACGACTCCATATTCTCTTTTATTTTCATTTTCTGTCAGTGCTGCATCCATGTCTCCCGATATTTTAGTCTATTCATGTCTTTCAAGGCTATACGTGTATCCGCCCATTTTTGACACCACTTGGTCTAATTAAGATGAGATAAGAAAATCCTTATTTGTCTCACAATGGAGAAATTCCCAATTTACAGCAGCAATATTATGAAAGGGAGAAAGTAGAAGACTAAAAGTATATAAATAAATATAAATATCAAATACACATATAAGCATATTAAAAATGTGTAAGTGGGGCTGAGTCCAGGTTTTCAGGACTGTCTTCGCAAGCATTTGTTGAGCGTATGGAAGGAAGTGAGAGGAACCTAGAAAAAAAAAAGTCCACGCCCGCACAGGGAGACTGATCAAACTCACACATGAAGCTGTACATTCAAATAGTTCATAGGCACAGATCAACCCTTGCTCCAATGTCCCTCTCATTGCAGAGAACCAATACGAGGTATTGGCTCAATACTGGTTATATTTGAAGGCATCTGGTACCCGTGCAGGCTGCTGATTCCAGCCACCAATATTTAAGGCAATAATAATTCTGAATTTGGTGAGTCCTCCTCGGCAGTAGTCAGCACAATACGGCAGTGAATCATCATTTGCATCAGAAAGAAAGGCCTTTGTTCACATTTTTTGTCTTTGTATCGAACGAAATTTTACATATCAAAAGCGGTATCCATACCTGGTATCGGCGAGTACAGAAATAGTGAAAAAAAAAAGTGACATGGAACACCCTAAATTAT